TTGAGTCCATCATTTCGCATCCGGGCGTCTCTGGGGTTCGACTACGGACCCCTGGCGAGACAGGGATGTGCCTTGTTTTGAGCATTGTTTTTTGGATCAGGACTTTCTGTCTTTTACATCAATAATATCAATAGTATCAATAATATCAATAGTTCATTACTGTTCCTTACTGTTATATCAATAGTTCATTACTGTTCATCACTGTTCATTCATGGGGCTGTTGGTTTTTAGGTCAAACATGGTCAAACTAAGAGCTAAACTATGCTAAACTCCATAGGTCAGCCATGGATTCTGCAGATTTTCCAAGGCCCTGCCGTTGTGGTTGCCGCCACATTGGTGGTCTTCCAGCTTCGCCGTGCAGCGATGACGGACAAACTGAAGCGTTCCAATTCCTCGGGCAGCTGCAGACAGCTACGGCTGAACGGCTGGTGGCCGCCACTGGAGGCTTCTACCCAGAAGGGTCACAAGATATGGAGGCCATGACCTGGAATCGAATTCGTTCAGGTTATGATGTCATGGTGTGGTTGGAGCATGGCTTTTTGCCCAATGTCTGGGGCACAGTGGCTGGAAGAGTCATTCGACGAGCTGGCCTAGTGCTCAACCGGAATCTGGTCGTGGGAGGAGTACGTGCACGTCAAAGACGTGCCAACCTTGGCTCCTGCAATTTGCTCGAAGCCTTAGAGGATTGGTATACCATCCAATGTCGGCAGCCTGAGCTTTCCACTGCAGACTTTGGGCCCTTGACCAGCGTCAATCTCAGCGTCGTTGATGAGATGCCACTGGGTGCAAAGCACGCCTATTCTGCAGGCAAATCAGGATTTTTCGATGCACTTTTTGATGTGGAACGGCCTTTACGTGATGCCTTGGAAACCGCAACCTATCTGCGGAGAAATCATTGGCTAACTTCAGCCACCACTTCGTTAGAGCTAGAAGCCTTGATGTTAAATGGTGAAGGTGCATCCTTTGCCATTCTGAGTATCACCTTTGAGTGGTTATATGATGGTGGTGTTACCCGGCGAGTCCGAAGCCATGTCTTCAGGGCTGTACCTGGTGAACAGTTAGTCATGGACTACCTCCCCGAAATCATCTGGTTGGGTTTGATCCTGATACTCTTACAACAAGAGCTATGGGAAGTCGTGAAGGCAACCATGAGACGAGAGCTGAGACACTTGGCACCCTTGGCATTTGGGTTTGCTGAAAAACTTTTGGTGCGAAGGAGGTATGATCAGATATGGTTTTGTTGTAAAATAGGGAAGAAATCACGGGATTTTGGGGCTTCCACATTGTGTGACAGCGATCTACAGCTAGTCCCAGGCTTTTTTTTGGTTGTGACTGGGGTGGAGGTATGGTATCCAAAACCCAATGGGTAGAGGAGCTCAGGGGGATGACTAGCTGCAGTAGCTTTGCTGAACTTGAGAAATTTGAGAAGGTGACGGAGCAAAACCGATGGATGATCATCATTTTCCATATTTTTCCATTCATATTGTATATTATTGCCATATATCAGCTATCCAGTGACTAGGAGGGATCGGGTATCTATTTTCCATTTTTTCCATTCATATTGCATATTATTGCCATATATCTGCTATCCAGTGATTAGGAGGGATCCGGTATCTATTTTCCCTAAAAAAATCCCCTGCTCAATGATTTAATTGGGGAAAAAAAAGCAGGCACCAGTCGAGTTTTCCTGGGGGCATGATATATACTGTGATATACCATATGTCACTATGTCTCTGATCTTGGGGGATGGTCATCAATACTCAGCAATCCATTCATACGGATTTATACAGCCCTTTAAAAAAAGGATTCCCATGACTGGATGACCATCAAAGCATCAATCCCATGGAAAATCCCTATGTGACTTGACCATGGCACACACACATATATACAGTATATATATAAAATAATGTAATTTAATATAATATATATATATATAAAATAGAACATATATGTATATAGAATACATTGTGTATATAATATAATAACAAAATAATAATAATAATAGTAATGATTAATAATAACAACAATCATAGTAATAGTAATAGTAATATATATAAATATAATTAAAAAGTATATATATATACATAGTATATATATAGTGTATATGTATACACTATATATCATATTAAGCAAAGGCATGTCATGATGCTCAGGAACGTATTTCTCCAGCTTCTGGAACTTGGTTGACTGGATCTCCATTGCAGCTGGGTCCTCAGAGATTCCAAGCAGGTCTCCATTGAGCTTCTGAAATAGTCATGAATTAAGACGTAAACTATGAATACTACACACTAAATATGAATAGAATATATCATATATATATATATCATTGTTTTTTTGCAGAATATACCATCTATATATATATGATTATTTATGCTTAATCTATTTTTGGGTTATACACATTTTTGTCAGAAAAACTGTTCCCATCCTTCGGACACTGAATTGCATTGAGGTTGGGGTGGCGATAACCGTGTCCTCACTGTGGATACAGGACTGGGGAACGAAGGAAATGCGAACAGCATGGCTGCCATGGGTATTTGAATGTTCATGAAACAACATTTACCCTCTGGTAAACATAGCTATTGAAAATTTACATTTTATAGTGAGTTTTCCCATTAAAAATTGTGATTTTCCATAGTTATGTTAGTTTACCAGAGGGTATGAGCTAGGGTGTGGTCCGTAAAAAAAATGGTGATTTTCCATATTTTTTTTGTATGTTTACCAGAGGATTAACAATATTATTGAACAATTCAACATATTTTCAAAGAATGGCCAAAATCCGAGCCCTAGGCAAACCATTTGCTGAGAACATCTGCATTACCATATGTTCCAAAGTACTTTGCAACACCCTTATGCGGAAATTTGTCATTTTTTGAAATGGGTAATCATAATTCATCATCTATAAATGTCATGAATCATCTATAACTGGGCCATGGCTCCCACATCTGGCCGTTAGTTTGCCTATGTTTGCCTTGAGGGTCCCATCGACCAATTTTGGGAAGGAAATCACCTCAACCTTGGCCCGGTCCATATCGCAACTTCCGCGCGCACCGTTGGTGGCATGGCATCCAGTTAAAACCTTTTCCCAGTGTCTCTCTGGTAATTTCACATAGCTATGTAAAATCACATTTTTTTTGATAAGTGAATCATCATGAGTCATCTAAATTATACTGTAAATGGAGTCCCAAGTTTTTAAGGTACCCAGGTTAAATTTCAAAAGTTCTGTTGTATTTTATGGCTATTTTATAGGACTGCTTCAACATGCCTGCCATTTTGGTCAGATCGAGGGTGGAAGAACACGGGTTGGCGACCACCAACTTACCATGTGAATGAGGAGTTAAATTAATTACCCTCTGGTTATGACTAACATAGCCATGGTATAGATGGTCCATAGAAATAGATGCTTTACCTATTAGAAATGGTGATTTTCCATGGCTATGTTAAATAACCAGAGGGCATCTAAAATGACATGAGCCATTTTCCATTAAGACTTGATCCATTTTTCGTGAGCCCAAGGCAGCCAACTTAGATGGCATGGCCTATCAGCAAAGCTGGTCTCAGCATATTGATGATGCACACTTCATCGTGACGATGCGAGGTTGGTTCCAACTGGCCCTCTTTTGGTATTCCTCCATCATCACTGCCAGGATGTTGAAAGCCTCATTGGGCCAGGCCAAATTAGCTATGATTCAAATCACTTTGGCTGATGGCTTTTGGGATGTGATGCATCTCATGCTCATTTTCCTGGTAGTTTTCAACAACTTTGCAGTGGGTGGTAAGATTCTCTTCGGCCCCGAGCTGGAAGATTGGTCGACCTATCCTCAATGTTGTGCCAGTGCAGTGCTGCTGATGATGGGTGCAGCGAAGTTTGACCAACTCTATGAGGTGGCTCCAATCTCTGCAACCATTTGGTACTGGTTGTTCATTTTGATTATGATGTTCTTGATGTTAAACCTCTTGACCGTCATCATCGTGGAACATTTCTGCCAAACCAGAAATACTTGCGGGGAGACAGCTGGACTCGTGAAGGATTTGAAGCTGTCCTGGAAAGATTTCTGTTTCCGAATGGAGTGGCGTCGTGATCAGTTTCGAGAGGGTGAGTACAAGGCTTTTTTCATGGGAAATCCCTACGAGGGTTTGGTGGAAGGTCTGTTGCAAAATGCAAAGGCCTCCGAAGAAATGGAACGAGCCGCGGCCAAGAATTGCTTGGGCTTAAAGCTCAACAGAAAGAAGATCGAGGATTTGAGTGTGGAAGCACCCTCCGCCGACAAAAATCCGGGTTTTGGCATTGTGAAGAACTTGGAGTTGCGAAAGATTGCCTGCGATGCAGCAACTGCACAGTTCCTGTTAGATGGCTGTGAAGACTTTGTGGCCTCCGAAAAGAGCACGGCCCATCTGGGTGTCCTGAACCAAGTGAGAAGTTTTGTGCAACTGCTGCAGCAAAGTAAAGAGGAACTCAACTCTCACTGCGGACAGATGGAGGATGGAATTGTGGAGGACCAGGAGGAGTTGGAGCGCATCTTGACCCGCTTAGAAGACTCGGTACAGATGGCCTTCGATGGCTTTCAAGAGTTGCCAAGTTGCAATTGGCGCCCTACAACGTGCCTCATGTGACGGCTCCATGCCCTCACAATAATGAACTCCTGAAAATGTCAGTGGTGAAGCGTTTCCATACCTTTGTCCATATGATCATATCATATCATACAATCTCTGGATGAATTATAATGTCACAACGACGTCGCTACATCGACGAGGGTTAGTAGGCGGATCCCAAAAACACCTTATTTCAGGCTTGTGAATTATGTTCATCAGTCAGGTGCAAGTAAGAATTTACATTTTTCTTGAAAACAAAAAATGTATATATATATATATAAACATAAACACATATGATATGTATACAGATCCACAGAGAGAGATATATATCTATAACCATACATGCCAATCGCTTGTCAATGGATATCAATATCAATATCAATATCAACATCACAATATATTATATATATATGTACATATGCATATACCGATGCTCTATCTATCTATCTATCTAGCTAGCTATCCATCTATAAATGATCAAATGATATCCACACATCAACCCTGAGATCCCCATATTCTTCGCTGAGCCCCCGTCTCAGGTTGGCAGCTAGCGGCATTGACACCTTGGCACCTCCGGCCTTAGGTCAAGGTGCAAGGGTTTTGGGAGGATGTTTTGATGGCCCAACATCAGAAAGGATCGAAGTCAATTTTTCTTCATAACATTTCTGCTGTTTCCTGAAACAAAGAGCTCATGACTTGAGGTTAATGACATAAATTATATAAATGTCCTAATTCCAACGGAAATTAGACATCGTATGCTCAGTGATTTTTTTGGACAACACCAGCTGTTGATGACACATTTTCACAATGGATAGTTTAGTGCCACCAAACTATGGGGCATGCAGATGATTAGACTTCCTGCGCTTATGGTTAGTATGTATACGTATTTTTACTATGATATCTTCAAGTTTGCATCAAGAGAGAGGTTTAAAGTAGCACATCTTTCTGGTGAACCAGAATTTGGAGATTCTGAGTTTTTTGTTGACCTTAATGAGTCCAAAAAATGGCCTTCCTGGCAATTTCAGGGCCATCAGGGTTTTTTTCACATGGGAACCTCCAGGTGGCGAGATGAAGGCTGCCCTGCAGGATCTTCGAAGCACAGCGGGTGGCCCGGGTGGCCCGGGCGTGTCGGATCAGCCACTGCCCATCCAGCCCTGAGTCGCGTCGCGTCGCGTCGGGGGTGGCCTTCAAGGGCTGCACCCCCCGTTTCACCAACGATGCCATGATTCGAATCTCAAGCCGCATCTCGAAAAATGGAGGTTTTAATGGGAAAACCATAGGAAAACCATGGGAAAATGGAGGTTTACCCTCTGGTTATGTCAACAGTTAGCTATTGAACATGACCATAGAAATAGTGGATTTTCCCAGCTAGAAAATGGTGATTTAAGCCATAGTTTTTTGTACGTTTACCAGAGGGTACTTCTCAGCCCCTTGGTTTTTTTTTGCTTGAAGCTGTTGTTTTTTTGGAAGCCCCTTTGAGTTGGACTCACCCAGGTTTGTTGCCCTGAAGGTGAAGATCTTCAAGTTGACAGCTTGGACAGTTCACTTCTGATGTCACTGGGAATGTCAGGATCCAATACATGGAGGTACGTTAGGTTAGTACCATATTTCTGGCCATATGAATTCTGGGGATATTCCCTGAAATTAAGGCCTAAAAAATAATTTATATCATATATAGGCCTTATATGTATATATATATATATGGAATCGGTAGCTCCAAACCTCCAATCATTCTCAAGTAGCCTAAATAGCCATCGATGATCACTGATGATCACTGATGTACCTGGCCTTGGATCCCAAGTTACGCGCTTGCGCTGGTCTTTCCACCCTGCTGGAGGGTACACCTGAAAGCTGGGAAGCTAAGAGAGATTGCTTCCAGTAGATGGGTTGATTTGTTGATTTATCCCATGATCCCATGATCACTCCATTAGTTCCAGTGTTTCATAGTGTTTCATAGTTGCCAATAGCTACCAACAGGAATCCGCATCAACCGCGTTTTCTATCTCCGTATCGAGGCTTGCAGAAGATCGTGCTGATCGCAGTCGCATGCCTAGAAGCTGACCATCCACACATTGAGATCGTTGAGATCGTTGAGTTTTGGATGTGAATCTTCAGGACTCTGCAGCCAGAGCCTTGAAAGCCTTGAATCGCCAACTGTGAGGGGCCACCAGCATGTGGGTACATCAGTTGTGTATCGCAGGGTCACTTTGGGAGGATTTGGTCTCTCAAGTGAGACGTGATACGTTACATTTGCATGCGAAGCTGCGAAGCATGGAGCATTTGCGAGGCTTCCCAGATTCTGCCAATTGAGCGCCATTTGAAGAGAGCTTTGAGAGAGCGGAGTAGCAATGCCTCGTCATGGGCTGAAGCGGCTGAAGTCAAAGCTCAGTTCCCATGGCTTCATTTTAGTTGATGTCATCTCATTTGATTTGCCCAAACTCTACAATGAACCAATTGTATGTACATCCATCCATCCATCCATACATACATCCATACATCCATACATCCATCCATACATACATCCATACATCCATACATCCATACATCCATACATCCATCCATCCATCCATACATCCATCCATCCATCCATACATCCATACATCCATACACCCATACATCCATACATCCATACATCATACATCCATACATCCATACATCCATGCATCCATACATCCATCCATCCATACATCCATCCATCCATCCATCCATACACAGATACACACATACAGGCATACATTACAGTACATTACATGACATGACATTACATTGCATTACATTACCATACGCACACACACACATATATATATATAGAGTATAGATAAATAATATGTGCAAATCATACAGACCTATACCTACATATGCAACACAGACATAAAAACATGCATAGACAGCATGGAACAACAATTTGTCGTTGAGGCCCTTGCGACTGAATGTTGTACGAGCCAATGTGAGCTCAGGCTGGAGCATCTTTTTCAGCGAATTGCTGCATCTAGTATCATCTAATATCATCTTTAATATCATCTAATACTAAATCATTAAAAACATCACCTACAGTTAAACGGATCTATTTAATGAATGCGACTGTTTTATGTGTTGTTTCACCTATCCCATGTTTTTTCGCATCTTCGCATCGCCAGCAATGGCTTCACAGCTGTTTGAGGCGAGGCATCCAGGACGAGACCGACACAGGTTCTAGCGAAGATGCCAGCCCTGGTGAGAGACGTTGGGACCCTGGGAGCTCTGCCGTGTTTTTTTTGTGAAAAAAAAGGCCTGGGTATAGGTGAAAAAAAAGTGTTGAGTAGCGGACCCAAGAAAATTAATGGCTGGTGATTTTCAGAATGGAAGCCTTAAAAAACCATCCATTTTTTGAGACCCTGCTGCAGCACGGTGCACGGTACCAATGACATGCGTTTTGTTCAAGAGGTACCTGTTGGTTTTTGAACATTATTCAATTTCTTGACATTTACTATGATGTTGATGTTGTGTGTTTGAAGAAACCTCATATTCGCCCAGTTGCATAGAAAACAATATAACCACATATAACCACAATGCAAAATGAGCTAATTCTACAGCCAAAGAAACTGAGCAATGGCGCTATTCTTCGTGCTGTTGGGCCTCCACTTGGTCCAGGCATTGCTCCCTGCACATTTTCACTGTCACCTGTTGGGTCGGCATCAGACCAGCTCAGAAGCCGGCCAGGTATGGCAACGCCTTAAAGGATTTTCCACTGCTCGTGCTGATGTGACTTGTTGCAGTGTGGATAAGGTGAAGTCGATCATGGAATATGCGGAGCTGGTACTGAGCTTCAAAGTGAGAACCATGGATCAACAGTTGGAATTCGCCAACCAAGTTGAAGAAGGTTTGAGGCGGTCCAGATCTGATAGCCCTTGCCAGCCATTGATGCGGGGACGCTTTCATGCTCGACTGAAAGCCTTGAAAGAAGTTGCACTTCCCTTGGGGCGGAAGGGTATCGAACTTCAACGCAAAGCCATGGCTATGACCCTGAGGCCCTGCGAGGAGTTGTGTGGGGCCCATGGGGGTCCGATTTTAACATAACCCACTTTGGAAGACGATGATCTTCATTTACTCGGTGGTTTTTCGTCTTTGATGGCTTGAAAGATGCTTGAAACATGGGTTTTTCAACATTTTTCAACCACCAATGAATCCAATATGAACCCAATATGAACCCAATATGAACCCAATATGAATCCAATGGTCCCACTGCGTCCACTGCCCAGGTCCCACTGCCTGAAGCCCCGTGGCATCGTGGCGAGATCCCACTGGTCCGCGAAGCTCCGAGGCCTGGCGCGACGCTTCGCCCGGATCCTGCGGGCCATGGAGGCTGCGGCGGAGGAACTCATGGCGAGTGATGCCCAGGCGATCCACCAGGGACGACAGGGACAGGGACGGGAAGAGCTGCTGAAGTGCTTCCAACTTCCACTGGTGGCTGGAGTTGTTGGAGTGAAATTGCCCAAAAGCCACGAAAAAATCTGGGCAGATGCTGTGGCATATCCATTTCAGAGGCCGCAAGGGAGTGTACGGACCTGGCATGTTTGGGTGGATCGATTTTCCATGGTATTTTCACGGCTTTTGGCCAAGCTGGTGTATCAATTGAAGATTCTATCTGCCAGTTTGGACTTCGCATTCTTGAAGGGTTCAGGTTCCCTTCTCTTCTGGGGAGATGAGCGCCTTCTAACTGTCCAATCAACTGAGGGGTCTTTCTGGCACTGGCCCAACCATTTGAGAGGAGATGAGACAGATTCAACCGAGCACCTGTTGGATATTTCCGATCTTTCCGTTTTGAGCTTCATCATTTCGAACCAAACGCCACGGGAAATGGTGGAGAGGCTATGGTCAGCAGCTGTGCAGATGTTGGAAGCCTCAGAGAGGTTACAACTTTTGTTGATTGAAGATGCCATCCGCCAGCCATCAGAAACCATCTACCGACCAACGCACTCGGTGGATCTTTCTGCCCGTTGTCGCTTTTATGGCAATGGTGCACGAATGGTGTGGCGCAGGCATCACTCAACCTTGAGCAATGCCGATGTCGTGGCAATGAATCTGGGCCGAGGCCAGCAAAATCCCAATGATGTGAAGGCTGTGAAGGTGTTGATGATTGATGCCCGAGAGTCCAGGAGTTCATTCCAGACTGACCTTGATGATTTGCTCATGGGAAAGTTTTCGACAGATGCTGTGAGAATTTTCGACAGATCTGAGTTTGGTGTCAGCTACAATGGCTACGTCCATGGTTTGACTGGGGACTTTGTGCGTCGGGTCCAGGATACTGCGCGACAAAGCTTTCAGGAAACTCTAGAAAGCCTGGGCCCATATTTGGAATTCCATCGGCGCGCAGTGGAAGCTTGGGGAAGGACTGTGGATGGTTCTGCCAAAGCGCGAGTCGAGAAGAACCAGTTCCGTGCTTTGATCTATGTCTGCAATCCCTTGACTTTATGTGGAGGTCATGGTGATCGAACCAATGGCATTCTCTCAGCATTCCTGATTGCTTTGTTAACATCGCGTGCCTTTTTCATCGATTTCGACTCGCCACTGCCGTTGTCATTGGTACTTCAACCGCGCTTGAGAGGAGCGGAGGCTTCCGGAGATTTCGTACTGGATTGGAGGTTACAAGGTGCCTCCCTGGGCCATGGCAGTCAGAGCTTCTACTTGGATGACCGGGTATCCTTCCAGGAAGACCTCACGTGGCTGGTGGAGGATTCCAGTCAAATTCTGCAATTGTCCATGAATCATCGTGAGCTCCAGGCCGTTCTAGTCCTGCCCTCATTTGAACCATGTTGGTTTGCAAAGTCAAAAAGTAAACCAATTGGATGTGCACACACGCACACACGGAGGTGTATACAGACAGATACATATACGCACAGATATACCTATGGTATCCTATGGCACCAATGCCATCTAATTCCGTAGTGAAAGTCACCTTTTCTTGGTAGAGCTTTTGAAGGGTCAAAGTGGGGTGTCAACACCTGGCCAGCTGTGGCATTTTTAAGGCGCATCCTTTGTTGAAGAGCCAGGCTGAAGCCTATGGTTTGCCCGGCTGGCCCCATCTGGTGGCGCGCTTGTGGGACGTCTTGTTCCAACCAACTCCTCTGCTGCAGAGGCGGCTGTCGGAGGCAACGGACACCTTGGGTCTGTCGGCACAGCTACTACCCTGGACCTCCCAAGCCCACGCGGCGCCGGGGTTTCTGGCGCTGCACTTCCGCGCGGGCAACGAATCGGGGCGCCTCTGGTGGGATCCCGCCAGACACACCTTGGATACTTTGCCAAAGTTCCTGAGCTGCGCCGCAGTGGTGGAGAAGGAAGTTGGACTTCCTGCTTCTACGCCATGGTTTTTGAGTTCTGACACCTTTTCAGCATTGGAACTTCCAGAGGTCAAAGAACTGCAGGAGCGTGGAAAACTGGTGGTGTTGGATGATGATGGAACTGGTGAGCGTACATGGCATCTGGCACATGTGGATCGTTCACATGCAAATCTAGGTCTCCAAGGCTTTGTTGATTCCTATGTAGCTTATCTTCTGTTGGCCTCGGCAAAAGCCGTGGTCCTCTCCCGCAGTTTCTTCGGAGAGACTGCTGCAGAGATTGGTGCTGTACCGCACGTCTATTTTGCCGAAGGCTGTGTGAGGGCGGATATTCACAGCTCGTAAAGATTCGTAAAGCTGAAGATTGCCAAGATTGCCAAGCTCCAAGTGCTGAACACATTCCTGGTCTTCTTCGTCTTCCTCGTCTTCGTCTTCGTCGTTCCCGGTGAGAGAGGATGCCTCAGAGCGAGCGTCGCGACAGAAGCTGAAGGAGCTGACTCCTGATGATCAGCTGATGATCAAGGTGGAGGTGGTGGAGGGAGGTGACAAAGGACAGGCAAGCTCCGATCAAAACTTGAAGTCCTGTGGGGCGAAGTATGTGTGAAATGGCGGGTGCAAAACACCTTGCCAGAGCGCTGTCCTGAAGTGCAGATAGCAGTTTTTTTTTTTTTTTTAAATAGCTTACCAGGCTTACCTCTTGAGTCATTTGGCCATCACAGCAATGCCATGCTGGCTGCCATGCTGCCAGCCATGCTGAGGCTGCCATGGGCTTGAAAGCCATGTTTGGCATCAGGAGTCTCGATCTGAGCGTGGACCGCCCGGAGATTTTCCATCTCACCCCAAACAACCAGAGTCAGGATGATATTAACTGCAAAACTCGACTTGCGACTTGGTTCTCAGGTGCAGCCACTTTGGTCGGAAGCTTTGCCAAAGCTGAACATTTATCATCATTTATCCACTTCGAGTGAAGCCTCACCAACCTTTCCAACAGTTTCACCGAAAGTGTTTGGCATCTCTTCCCATAAATCTATATAAATCTCCAAAATATTCCAAAATCCCATTTGCCACAGTTTGTTTTTCATGTTTTTCCACATTTTTAGAACCGGGGTTTGGTTGTTTTCACATCCGTCACGTGACCGTCACATCCGTCGCAGCTGTTCTGGCTGCAGCTGTCTTTACAGCCGCGCGATGCGCGGCTGTTTCCAACGGCCAGGGTCCGGCCAGGCGACATCCACATGTGCGCCGAGCGTTTGGAGGACAACCAATTGGCTAATTGGGCCCAATGAGCCTGTGATTTTTCATGATTTTGGATGATTTTTGAGGTCGACTTAATGACACTTAATGTTGTTTTGATGATTTTGGATCTTTGAGCTTCCACTTTCGTCCTATTTTCAGTGTTTTACTGAGTTTTACCAGTGTTTTCCAGCGTTTGGTCGAGCATTTCGCCATGTTTTGCCTCTTTTCAGGTACGCCTTTGCCTATCCCGGAGCCTATCCCGGCCTGTTCGGCCCACCGGGAGCCGTGCTGACGCCTTCCGCGTACAGGTCTTAGTGGAGATCTAACCATTTTATGGTTTTAAAGGTGGGTAAATCAATGCCATAAACCACCCATTTGGGCATGGTTTCAGGTTATACCACCTATAAAAATGGTGATTTGGGGATGGTTTATGGCATTGTTTGACCCACATTATAGGGATTGAACTTCATCATTCACCACATTTCACCACTGTTTTTTTTTTTTGTGGCGGGTTTCGGAAAATAGGTCATCGCCCCTAATTGTAATTATGATTGACCAGTGTATTTAGGTAGCCTATTTTCAGACCACCTCATATGGCATTTTTTTGTGCAAAAAATGATAATTTTCTAGGCTTTGGTGAGGATTGGAACGATTTTTATTTCTTTTTTGATTTCTGGATCAAGATGATCAAGGTACGACTACCCGGGATTTGGCTATGGAGCTTCCAAAGATTCCAAAGATTCCAAAGATTCCAAATCCAAGGAGTCCAAGGTACTGATCTCCCAGTGTGGGCCTGGGATGCCTGGGAGGTGAGGCCTGAGGTCCTGGGAGGTGCTGAAGATTTCATGTCAGGAGCCAGCTGAAAGCTCGAAAGTGAAGGTGAAGACGGAGAAAGCTGCGAAAACCAAAGGAGACAAGGGAGATAAGGCAAAGGCCAAAGTCTCCAAAGATAAGCTGAAAAGCAAAGCTGAAAAGAAACCAAAGGCTGAAAAGGCCGAGAAGCTTCCAAAGGCTCAAGGGCCGCGAGATACCTTGGACTGGCCGAAAGGACTGAGCTCAACTCCGTTGATGAGAATGGCATCAGGTTTTCCTTTTTGGTTTTAAGATTTTCAATTCGTGGCATCGTGAGGAGTTGCGGTGTCCGGCTGCAAAGATAAGACGGTGAAGAAGATCGTGCGTGGCGACTTCAAGTTTGCCGGAGAAAATCATGGCAGGTGCTGCTGAAAACATGGTGAAAAATGGTGAAAACGGGTGAGTTTTCACCCAGCACCTGTGAGGCCATACTACAAGCGGGATGAGAAGTACAACGATCTCGATGCACCCACCTCAAATGGCTTTGACAACGGGGTATACCCGGTGTATACTTCCGCCAAATGGCCATATGATCCATATTTTCATCGGGAACATCGAAGTCATCGAACATGGAACATGATCATTCACCTCATCATTCACCAAGAATTTGGGGTTCCCATGAGATTTTTCCATCTAATTATGGAACATGATCATTCAGCCAGAATCTGATTGGAATAATTGATGATGTGCCATCATGTTCCATAAGATTTGATGATCAGATTTTCACCTCACCCAGAATCTTATGGAACATGATCTGGTTGGTGGTTTGGAACATTTGGATTATTTTCCCAAACAAATTGGGAATTTCATCATCCCAACTGACGAACTCACTCCATCATTTTTCAGAGTTTTGCTCAAAAACCAGCAGCCAGTTAATGATGTTTTTCCCATTTATAGATGATTTCCCAGCTATAAACCTCCATTGATTAGGGATGAAACCCAGTGATGAAACCTCAGATTTTTCCGCTGAGGTGATGCTGTACTATTGGGACGACAGAGATGGCTCTGACTTTTCAGGTTGGTGGTTTGGCCCCAAGGTTGGTGGCGACCAGGCAGGGATAAAAAAGGAATGCCGTGGTGAACTTCGATGGCCAAAAAAACATGGGATGATGAAGATCCAGGGCACGAAATAGCAGTGATGTATCAGCATGTACCCTCTGGTAATTTAACATAACTATGGGTTAAATCACCATTTTCAATGGGTAAATCCACTATTTCAATGGCCATTTTAAATAGCTATGTTAGTTTACCAGAGGGTATCACTTATTTTCATTTATTTTCATCTATTTTAGCTTTCACCAAGCTTTTTCATGGTTTTTCCACATGTTTTGACCCATACTCATTTCACCCCCGGCAGGTTTGGGCCTACCAGCCCGGCAGAGACACCACACCGCCCGAGTCAGGGTGGAAGGCGAATCCATTGGGAGTTTCAGATTTCAACACTTGATGGTTTTTGATGTGTATAGTATAGTACAGATGTTTATAGTTTATGTAAAGATTTTTGATGATTCTTGATGGGTTCTGATGGTTCTTGATGGCTCTTGATGTTTTTCTTGATTCTTTTTTTGATGGTTTTTGGATAGGTTTCGGATTTGTTTTTGGACTAGCGCCAGGTGCCCTATGATGGGCCTGTGGATGAAAGCTTCAAGGTCACTCGCAAGAAAGAAAAGAAAGAAAAGAAAGACAAAGAGACGGCCCACAGCTTAGCCCAGTCACAGCTTAGCTGTGCTTACATCCACAGCTGTCACACAGCAGAAACTCTGAAAAAATGGTGACGACATCATGGCACCATGGGATTTCTGGATTTCTGGATACCCCAGGTGATGCCTTATCCCGGGATGTACTACGGCATGCAGGGCATGCAGACCGCATTCATGGACCCGCATGCTGCGGAACGCCAGATGCAGGAATATGCCCGGCTGCAGCAGGAAGGAGCAAAAAGAAGGCCAGAACTAGCCCGATAACCAAAAGTGTCTCCAATAGAACATGATAGATAGATAGATTGGTTGATTGATTGATAGATCAGGTAGATAGGTAGATAGATCAGGTAGATAGATAGATAGATAGATAGATAGATAGATGTATGAATATATTATCCGCGTCTATTTACTCTTGACATTTTTTGTGTGGGACCATATGCACATACACATACATATAGACACACACACACAGATATATATATATAGATTACACTAGAAAAGTTAATAAATGGATCCATTTCTATACATGAGCAAAATAAGTCACACATCCTCTGGAGTCCATATGCGGAGTCCTCTGAAGGCTGGAAGAGGAATTCCACCGGCAGAAACGAGAAGAAGCTTTGAGGAGTTTCACTTTCGGGATGGGATGGAGAAATGGCAGAAAACTGAGACACAACTGAAGACCAGAAAACTGATGTCAGGCGTGAAGCCGAAAGAAAACGCAAGGAAGAAGCTAGAAAGAAACAGGAAGAGATCAGGAAAAAGAGGGAGGACCCGTGTGGCTTCGTTGTCATTTTGTTGTCTGCAGGCTGTGTTACCTATGCCTGCGGCACTTAAACAAAGCAGGAGGAGCAGAAGAAGCAGAAGGAGCTGGCAGAGCAGCGAATCAAGGACTTTCACTGTAGTTACATGTAGTCACAATGTGGTTATTTTGGAGTGACTGCAGGTATTAGCTTTGGAAGGTCTCAGATTGCTTCAAAATCGGACAGATGGCATTGCATTTTTTTTGGGAGGAAGGAAAAGCCGTCTTCCTCCTACGGAAGGTGCTTTTTTTTTACGCCATATGTTTTTCACCAGTGCAATTTGGAAAAACGATGGTAACACCCCTGGAGGCCATTCAGAAGTTGAACGCTGCCACCCCAGAGAGCATGGAGACCGTCCAAAAAGAGCTGGAGGAAACCATGAAGCTGCACTTGGAGGCACTCTATCCAGCTTGCAGCACGCCCTGAAATATCGCTTACATGTTACTGGCTGTTTTTTTTTGACAAGGAAGCTGGCAGCCAGAAGGATTACATGAAAGGCGAGGCGGACAAATACTTGGAACAGACCAAGAAGAGGATTGAACTCCTCAACGAGGTGCCCTGGAACCTCAACAGTGGCTGCAATGGGCTGCATTTTGCTGCATTTTGCTGCATGGCACGTCATGGCAGACACGTCAGGCGAAAAGGAAAGCGCAGGAAAAGAAGGAAGCGGATGAGAAGCGCCGCCAAGAGCTGGAATCCCGAGCCAAGGCACCATTTTTTTCGTACGCGCGAAGCGAGCTTGGCTTCTCCAACCTGGTACCCTCTGGTTATGTCAACATAGCTATTGAAAATGGCCATTAATAGTGAGTTTTCCTATTAAAAATGGTGATTTTCCATAGTTATGTTAAATTACCAGAGGGTAATGGGAAACCGTGAAACCTTCAATTTTTCCCGTTTGCCATCGTTTCCTGCTAGAAGCTTCTAGCAGAGCTCAGCGGTCTGCTAGATATGGCTGAGAAGGGGGTAGCTTGCTTGCACAATGTTGCACATTGCCTTGAAGATCCTTGAAGCTCAGTTTGGGATAATCATATATTAATAATTTAGTATAATAACCACAATAACCATTAATAATTAATAAACATTAATCATTATTTAATCATTATTTAACCATTAACTATTGATAACCACAATAATTTAACATAATTTAACCATTAACAGATAATGATAATGCCATTATTTAACCATTGTTTAACCATAATAACCATTGTTTAACCATTGTTTAACCAAAGGTTGGCTCCTTCAGTTTGTCCCAAGTGAGCGGATTCGAGGTCGAACAGCTCAGAGAGACTGCGACGCCACTGGAGACCAGCGATGAACAAAGCTTGCCCGAGGTCCAGCGGGGTCTCCACTGACTTCGGCTATGGGGACATGGGGTACCCTCTGGAAATTTAACGTACCTAAACTCTGTGTTTTTTTTTTTCTCCCAAACCAGTTTGAATTGCCTTTTCGACTCGAACCATAGCTTGAAATAGTTACTGTAGGTACCCTCTGGTAAACAAACATAGCTAATTATTGAAAATGGCCATAGAAATAGTGGATTTTCCAATTAAAAATGGTGATTTTCCATAGTTATGTTAGTTTACCAGAGGGTATCAAATGTTCATTTCATATCATTTCATATCATTTCATATCATTTCTTTCATATCACATTTTCTTGGAATCACCAATTCGCAAACACATCAATTTCACATCGAGTTTCTACGTGAGAAACAACAGATTTACCATCCCCAGTAGGTTTCGAATCGTTGGAACTTCGCTAGGTGGAAGCCTGTGCAGAAGCCGTGGAAGCAGCTGGAGCCAGTTGTAAGACGCTGATCAAGACCTGCATGGATTTTTTGGTGAGCCACGGCCCTGAGATGAAGGACCATGGGAAAGATCTCAGCAACTGAGGGGGTTGGGAGGTGAATTTTTTTCGCCTTGAAACCATGGGAAAACCCTAAGACAGAAATTTGGGAAAAACTGATTTTCGTTGAACACAATGTGTTTCCGAAACAGATTTTCGTTGAACTGATGGATTGATGGAAGGAACGGCAATTTTTTGACAGATGGATGTCGATGTCGATGGTTCCGATGAAGTGATATGTGATGTTCATTGATTTTGGTAATTTTTAAAAAACGTATGTGGTGTGTATATATAAAACTACATACCTATATATGCACATACACATACACATACACATTGGCATATTTGCAGAAAAATTGTGAGGACATCATTGAAGACTCATACGTGACACTAAATGTTTGTATACCTAGACCCTCATGAACTCAAAAAAAGAATGAACTTTGAGGCCCAAGGCCTATGTAAATCATTGTAAATCCACATTTGCACCATAAAATTGGTAAAACCACCATTAAAAACACCATAAAATTGGTAAACCGACCATACAAATTGGTAAAACCACCATTAAAAGTTGGTAAAACCACCATTAAAGTTGGTAAAACGACCCAAAAAATCACACGTCAGGAGCCGCCGGGACCCGTAGGCGTGGCGGTGTTGGGCCCTTCTGAGCTAAAGCAGCTTATGGCGAGATGTCTAACCAGGATCAACGAGTGTCTGGGACTCTAACTTGGGGATACCCTCTGGTTATGTCAACATAGCTATTGAAAATGGCCATTTATAGTGGATTTTCCTAGCTAGAAAATGGTGATTTTCCATAGCTATGTTAAATTACCAGAGGATGTTTCATGATGTTTCATGATGTTTCAACGAACTTTTGTGCGGATTTTCTTTCTTTTTTCTTTGCGTTTTCTGGATGATACATGATGATACATGATGATACCGAGGATGCTGAGGATACTTGTGATTTTCACTTATTACCCTCTGGTAAACATACAAAAAACTGTGGAAAATCACCATGCTATTAATATTTTTAATGGGTAAATACACTATTTCTATGGCTATTTTCAATAGCTATAGATGTTGGATATCTATTTATGTATATATCATATACCATTATATATATATATAAAACTATCTATCTATCTATCTATCTGTCTATCTATCTATCTAATCTAATCTAATCTAATCTAAATCTAATCTAATCTAATCTAATCTAATCCTAATCTAATCCTAATCTAATCCTAATCTAATCCTAATCTAATCCTAATCTAATCCTAATCTAATCCTAATCTAATCCTAATCTAATCCTAATCTAATCGAATCTAATCTAATCTAAATCTAAATCTAAATCTAATCCTAATCTAATCGAATCGAATCTAATCTAAATCTAAATCTAAATCTAAATCTAAATCTTAATCTGAATCTCAATCTTAATCTTAATCTTAATCTTGATCTTAATCTTACCAGTCTTAATCTTAATCTTACTCTTAATCTTAATCTTAACCTTAATCTTAATCTAATCTAATCGAATCTAATCTAATCTAAATCTAAATCTAAATCTTAATCTGAATCTGAATCTCAATCTTAATCTTAATCTTAATCTTACCAATCTTAATCTTAATCTTAATCTTAATCTTACTCTTAATCTTAATCTTAATCTTAATCTTAATCTTAATCTAATCTAATCTAATCGAATCTAATCTAAATCTAAATCTAAATCTTAATCTTAATCTTAATCTTAATCTGAATCTGAATCTTAATCTTAATCTTAATCTTACCAATCTTAATCTTAATCTTACTCTTAATCTTAATCTTACTCTTAATCTTAATCTTAATCTTAATCTTAATCTAATCTAATCTAATCTAATCGAATCTAATCTAATCTAAATCTAAATCTAAATCTTAATCTGAATCTGAATCTCAATCTTAATCTTAATCTTACCAATCTTAATCTTAATCTAATCTAATCTAAATCTAAATCTAAATCTAAATCTTAATCTGAATCTGAATCTCAATCTTAATCTTCATCTTAATCTTGATCTTAATCTTACTAGTCTTAATCTTAATCTTACTCTTAATCTTAATCTTAATCTAATCTAATCTAAATCTAAATCTAAATCTAAATCTAAATCTGAATCTGAATCTGAATCTGAATCTGAATCTTAATCTTACCAATCTTAATCTTAATCTTACTCTTACTCTCTTAATCTTAATCTTAATCTTACTCTTAATCTTAATCTTAATCTTAATCTTAATCTAATCTAATCTAATCGAATCTAATCTAATCTAAATCTAAATCTAAATCTAAATCTTAATCTTAATCTGAATCTCAATCTTAATCTTAATCTTAATCTTATCAATCTTAATCTTAATCTTACTCTTAATCTTAATCTTAATCTTAATCTTACTCTTAATCTTAATCTTAATCTTACTCTTAATCTTAATCTTAATCTTAATCTTAATCTTAATCTAAATCTAAATCTAAATCTTAATCTAAATCTTAATCTTAATCTTAGTCTTAATCTAATCTAATCTAATCTAATCATTTCCTTTTGATCTTTTTGGGTACCGCAAATGTTCCCCATCCAAGGTGCACTAAGCTCAGCGATGGGGTTCTCTTCGCGGTGCGCGCCGTGAAAGATGCCGTGGCACGGCGGGTGGAGGCCACCAAGAAGACCACGGAACTGGAGGACCCTGGGGGAAAAACCAAGGGGAAAAGGATGGAAGGGCCATTTTTGATGGATGGACTGGCTGAAATTTTGAGAAAAACCAAGATCATTGTTGGTGGTTTTTTGTGTGAAAATGATGAGAAAAGATCCCGCCTTGTTTTGGGCAAACCTTGGGATCTCAGTTTAGGTCTCTTGGATTTGCAGTTTCATCAGTTTCATCACCCGCAGTGACAGGAGCTCTTTTCCAAATACGATGTAGATCGAGATCAGTTGCTGTCAGAGAAGGAGGTCTTTCCGCGGAAAGTGTTTGGAACCGCATTTTTCCGGTCTCAAAAAATCCCCAAACCCTAACAGTTTCTTTGGGAATTGAACAATTTCTGGGTGTCAGTTTGAGCTTGGAACCAGAAATGACCCTTTGCTTTGCCAAACAACCATGCCATATTTTTTGATGTATGGAGTCTCAACATATCTCAACTCTATATACACACACATCTATATATATATATATACACATAATATGTACATGAAAATGTATACACATACACATATACATATACATATACACATATACAATTCAACACATTTTTATGCTTGTTGTTAGGGTGGTAGGAGGAAGAACCTGCATCACTGTGGGACTTGCAGGGTGACATGAACAGCGGCAGGTCCTGTCCTTTGCGAAGGATTTGGGCGTGGACATATCTCCAGAGGCGTCCGATTTTTCCGTCCGGGATTGATCGATTATCAAAAAAACACCATTTTGGTGGATGAAAATACTTCAAAATAGCCCTTCATTTTGCTGGATTCTGAGTTTGGAATGAGGATTCTCAAAGATCCTGAAGTTTTGAAAAGTGGAGTCATCCAGCAAATCCAGCAGTCTCTTTTTGTGCGAGTCGCCTGCGCGTTTTTTGAGGTCATGAAGCAGATCTGGAAATCCACCGTGGACGATGGACAAAGGGGTGTGACCTTCGCCAGGTCAGCTGTTGGTCAAACAGATGTCATGGCGCTCGCTTTTTCAATGGATTGGTTTAAGGGAAAATCTTAACCGGAAACCATGGATTTTCCCACGAAATATGGGTTTTTACCGGTTAAAATTTTCCCCAACAAACCAATCCATTGCTTTTTACAGCTGTTTTTTCAAAAAAGGGGCTTTCTGTTCGTTTCGGCTGGGGAATCTGAATGGGAATCGTCCATGGGAATTTGATGCTGTCGGCAGGTTCCCATTACTGAAGACCAAATTGGGTGCAGAGAAGGAGCTGCGAAGAGACCGGTTCCTTGCTCCAGGGACGATCCAGTGACGATCCGGTTTGGGTTTGTTTTTTTTTGGGTTTGGCATGACATGGCATGACCTTTTCCCATCACAGTTGAGAAAAAAAAACAACCCCAAAACGAGACCATGAAACCATGAAACCAGTAGGCAATTTCCAGAGAAAAAAATGAGGACCATGCAATTTTTGGGTGTTTGATATTAGGGTGATGGGATGATATCTTTGGCAATCAAACATAGTTTCCACTGGACAACGCCACCAATCGGGAATTTCTTATGGCCATGTTTGATTTGTAATGTGGTAAACCCCATGCCATAAACCTACCCGTTGGGCATGGGTTATGCCAAAAATATATGTAAAAATGGGGGCCCGGTTTTTGGAAGGTAAGTTTATGATAGTTTATGTATCAAAAACCTGCATGGTTTATACAACCCATTGTAGAATTTATATGAGTTTATGGCAAGTTTTTGACATTGCTATTTCATTCATGGTGGTTCACCATAGTCCATGGCCCATTTCAGGTATCGAAAGGTGCTGCGAGAAGCTCGGGACAAGGTCCGAGCCAATCTGCGAGCGCAACTGGATACCAAGGCGAAGTATCGGCCGGGGCGTTTGGAGGGCTGGGGTCCTTTGCTGTACCTACCTGTAGCTCAACATCCATCAATATTACCCTCTGGTAAATTAACATAGACCCTGAACATAGCTTAGTTTTAATGGTCAAACTAATCTTCCAACCCCGATGACTGCTAGGGTCTATGTTAATTTACCAGAGGGTAACATCCGTCAACAGCCTCATCAATATCATCAATCCCGCCCTTTCTTCCACCGGAATTTCCATGTCTTTTGAATCAGCCGCCGTGAAGAGAATGGCTGTCCCAATGCCGTCAGTCTGCGAATGACAGATGGATCAGATGGCGAGAGGGAGTTAAAGAGAGAGAGATCTGTGAAACAACAAACCATCAACTCATCAGATACCTCAACCAATCCATTGAGATCAGACAAATGTGAAATATCTGTGAATACCATCTAGTTATGACTAACATAGCCATGGAAAGATCCACCCATGCTATTAATAGGTAAACCATCTATTTCTATGGGCCATCTATACCATGGCTATGTTAGTCATAACCAGAGGGTACCTCAAGCTGAACATTTCAACCCAATTAGGTTCAAAACAACCAAATGGGCAAAACAATCTCATTACTCTTGGTGAAATCTGAAGATAAATCTGCATTTTTGCTGGTGAAATCTCGGATTTTCATATTTTTTCTTGGCAAAAACGTTCTAAAAATCACATAAAATCCCCACTTTTCTTGGTGAAATCCTCCCATCTTTTAGTCGTAGGTGGGTCTGCTGGGCCACGAGATCAGAAAGGCAGACGAGGCGGTGCGAAACGTGGAGCGGTCGCTGCCGCCTTTGGCAGAGCAGGTGGGGTGCTCTGATTGGGGAGAAACGCGGTGGGAAAACAAAGGGGAAAAATTGGGAAGTTTGATTTTTGAACTCATAGTTGTTATGACTATGACTGTTATGTTTTTTTTTGTTGTTGTTGCTATCTATTCGTTGCTTCAATGGAATGGAACAATTCCCAAAAATAACTCGAATAGATAGCAACAACAACAACAACAACAACAACAACATTGTCCACCGATGTCCACTTCCATCCACCGATACTGTAGACATAACGAACTCGTGGACATCGGTGGACGTAACGACCTCGTTCCGTGGGGTTGATCCCATTTGCGCGGCCAAGGTTTGCAGGATGGGCATGTTATGTAGATGCAATCTACATGTTGACATTTTTTGAAACCATGGCACATTTAATATGGGTTATACAGTGTTATACAGTACTTATACTATCCATGAGATATAAAATGGATTTATCAGATTTATCACAATCCATTGTAGAAACCCTAGTGCTATTAACTGACCCTAAATGTCGTGTTTCTCAGGCTTGATGTTTGGGAAAATCTGCAGCAAAGGTCCAAAAATCTGCAAGGGAAATCCATGGCAAAAAACAAATGGTGTCCTGAGTCTCCTCAGGACCGAAGTGCAATGACAGACGCTGAGCTGATCTCCAAAAGTAGTAGCTGCAGATCGATGGTGGAGGCCCGAGAACTTGACGATTTTTCAGGAGGCTTTCTACTGAAACATGATCATGATACTGTGGATGGTTGCGAAATCCTGCACCATCTTGGATTGTTGAAACCCTATAAATAATGGGATAATCGGATAAACCATCTATCAACTGGTGCAGGATTTCTTCCATCCACAGTATCATGATCATTGATCGAACATTCATATAATAACGATAACAGTATGGCGGAAGATTTCAGGGCAATCTTTGAAGGTTTTTTCCGCCGAAGAAAAATCAGGTGATGAGATTGTGGCAGATTCTATATATATATATATCTATATAATGGATGTGAGAGACCCGCACGAAGAAACAGGAAGTCAGACCTGTGGTGGTTTGGCATCCCTGGCATCCCTTGGTAGGATGCCAGATTGGTGGCATCGTCTGTCCTGAAAAAGATCGATGAGCTTCCCAATGGCTTTGCTGAGAAAGACCAGGAAGATGTCAAGGAGATGAGCTGAGCAAAAGCATCGCTGGCCATGTGGCCATGTGGCTATGGGATGCTATGGGGATTAGGACAGGTGCTGTTTCTTTGGCAGGACTTGCTGGTCCCTGATTTTCGGGTCTTGGCAAAGCAGTGGCTTGTTCGGAGATTTTGCATCATGGTTTATCAATGTTTATCATATACAATTGGTCATTTTGGGTAAATCCCCTTTTCACACATGAAAAACACGATTTTTGATGGTTAAATCCCCGCAAGAAATCATAAAACCAGGCTGGGTACAGCTCCACATTTGGAGAAACATATATTCCCCATGTTAGTTTATGGGATCAATCAATGGATTGGTTTACGGGAAAATGTACAGGAAAACACAATATTTACGGGAAAAACCCTGGTTTCCGGTTAAGATTTTCCCAGAAAAACAAATCCATGGGATCAACCGTGTCTCTCGTGACCTTCCCTTGGCATTTGGTCATTTGGTACAGCTCAACCTAGGATGGGCCGGCTGGAACTGCGACTGCAGCGAGTGGAAAACTTGTGTCACCGCTTCAAGAGCGAGGCACGTTTTAAGTAGCAGTTTTAAGTAGTAGGTATTGCTCAACCTATTCCACCTACAGAAATATACATCAATCACAAGTATCCACTGAATAGTTGAATAATATATATATATATACACACTCCATATCACTAATATATTCAACCTATACATCAATCACATAAATGTATTCCACCTATCCCTATCTCAAGTATCCATTGACAGTTGGTGCCGATCAACGGTGGTTAAAAAACGGGTTTCAAAACTTCGCCATTGGCGCAGGTGGAAAAACGTGAGAAGTCCGAGCTTTTTGGAGCACGGCTGTTTGCTGTGAAGGCATGGCAGCTGTGGATTTTTCATGATTTCCCTCAAAATGGATTGGTTTAAGGGAAAATTTTCAGGAAACCATGGTTTTTACCATTAAATATGGGGTTTTCCTGTAAATTTTCCCCTATATAAACCAATCCATTGATTCTCACCAAAAAAATGGGGTCAAAAAAAGTACACGAGTAGACTTTGGTGCGGTGAAAAGTGGGAAAGTCACGGAAATCAACATGTTCAAGGCAGTTTAGGGCATGTGTTTTTTTTTTTCCTCCCAAACCAGTTTGAATTGCCTTTTCGACTCGAACCATAGCTTGAAATAGTTACTGTAGGTACCCTCTGGTAAACAAACATAGCTATTGAAAATGGCCCAGTCGAAATAGTGGATTTTCCCATTAACAATGGTGGATCTTTCCATAGTTTTTTGTATGTTTACCAGAGGGTAAACCTTGAGTCAGGCCAGCTTGATCCCCAACAGGCAAAACGCCTCCAGGTGTCACGTCTTTACGCTGCACGTCGTGGTCGAAGCATCCGTCAACTGCGCATGCCCCAGCTGCCCCAGCTGCCCCTGCTGTTGAGCGTCTGGAGATGTTTGGGGTGCACCAATGAACCAGCTGGGTACCTTCAAGTTTGAAGACTCATCACTGAAATGGCAATCTCTTTGGGATTTCTGCAATTTTTTAAACATGATTTTCCATGTATGAAAAAAATGGACGCATCTGCGAGTTTTTCTGCTGGAGGTTTAGAGAGATGGATGCCAATGGCGATGGGGAAATGGACTCTCAGGACCTGGATCTGCGCCCCATCGGCTGTCAGTGCCTACCTGGAAACATACCTGGAAACCATCCAATTTCCCAATTTCCACAGCCAATTGATGTGCCAAGATGATCAAGATGTAAAAAAAAACACAAAGGCGCTAAGAACCATTGGTTCTTGCTGGTTTTTGGGGAAGTTTTTGGTCGTTTTTTGTGGCGTTTCTGATGTCTAGCAGGAGTTCTCCCTCTTTTTCTTGTCAGTGGACCGGGAGATCCTGGAGGAGGTCCGGACATCGAGCAGATCGAGCATAGGAATGCCGAAGATCATCTACAGTGTTTAGTTTTTTTGACGGCCCTTTTCAAACAACTGTGGAATTTTCCCACAGCAGTTTCATCTGATTTCATCTGATTTCATCTGATTTCAAGGGTTTTTGTTGGTTTTTGATGATTTTTTGATGGGTTTTTGTTGGTGTTTGATGGCTTCACTGGGGTTTTTGTCCTAACTTTTCTCAACACATGGGATTGCCGAGGCTTCTGCCAAGGAGCAGCTGCCCGGCGAAGAAGCGGAGAGCTCCGCCGTGGCGGCCACGGCGGCCACGGCCAAGGCCAAGGCGCGACCGAGGTCGGCACGGAGACCCAGGTGATTTTTTTGGGGGGAACATCATGGGAAAATCATTGAACAAATGGAGGAAAATGGCCGAAATCGAAATTTTTCAGAGTGTTTTTGGGACTAAAGTATGAACATGGGCAATGTCCTTGGGGATCTGTGGTGGGTTAGCGGCTTAGAAGGACTGAAGTTTGGAGGTAGATATATCTAAACGACAAAGAAACCTTTGTGAATCGATCGGGTCACCATCACAACAACATCATGGTGTATGGTGTATGGGTCATGGCAAGTGCTCAAGACATCTCAAGACCCAAACCACCATTGCCCACCATTGCTACCCTCAAGTGGTGACCAAGTGAGGTCATGACAGCTGTGGATTTCACAGAAGATCTGCTTTCTCGTCTCTTCAAGTCGGTCTCAAACTTGGAAAGTCTGGGAGTTGGTGGAGATATCTATTGGAATCTATTGATACCCTCCAAAAAAATCCTGTGAGGTCTCAATCAGGTAAAGCCTCCAGGGAGATTTCTCTGAGTTTCTGCTGATTTTGGACATCAGAGCCGAGGTCGCAGAATCTGGAAAGCTCTCAGAGGATGTCTTCTGTCAGATGATGCGGTCCTACTGCAAGGCTTCGGTCATCGCTTTTGCGATTTCTTGCGATTCGAGGTTTCCAAAGGTTTCCAACTTCTTCGGCTTCCCGGCAGTGTATGGGGAAGACTCAACTTCTTCCCCATCTTGATCCAAGCTCAAAGTGAAAAACCACATCAGATGTCAGTTTTTTCAGATTCATGCCAATGCGCAAAAAAAACGCGGCAGGTTGTGAAGGACACGGTCATGACGAAGGAGTCGAAGGTGTCTGGCGACAACGCAGTGAGGCAGCTTAAGACGGATGAGGCCAGCACGGCGCTGATATTTTCAGTGTCGTGCTAGCATTGTCCCTTCTACAACTGTACGTACACATTATATACATATAGATATGGATGATATAAACTATATATATATATATACATATAGTGTGTATATATATATACATAAACACACACACACACACATATATATATATACACATACACGCATATAGACTGCATACACAATCATATGAAGTTAAATGTGTAGATAGCTGGGTAGGTAGCTACCTACCCAGGCTTGTTGCCCTCACCTCAAGCTACACCAGGTGATCGAAGTTCTTGAGGGCCCGATGGAGGAGGAGGAGATGAAGGTCACCAAATTGGGATAGAAACGACCAGGACCAGGATTTGTTGGATGTTTTTTAGAGTTTCCTTATCTGATTGTGTCTAGTTTGGGGCCAGAAGTTTCCCTACATATTGCTATTTGGTAGCCTGAAAAAATCTAGCGTGTTGGAAATTTGGAGTGATACCAAGAGCTCCTTCGCTGGCCATTGGCTGCAGGTGCCCCGCATCAAAGCAAGATGTCTTGCGGATGATGCGCAAGGGTGGCTGACTGTCAGAGGCCGCCCGGGACGTGGAATGTGAAGACACAGCCGTTCTTGGTTGGCAGACCTGATGGGTTGGATTTCAGGGCCCAGACTGCAGATAGGTCAGATAGGTCTTCGAACCACCTCTTGTCAGGCAATGATGGAATAGCTCACCTTCAGGACTCTTGCTCCGTTTTGTGATGTGAGCTTCATCCCATTTCTGCCTGCCAAATCAGTTTGAAACTGTTTGAAACTGAAGCAGCTTGTTTGAAACTGATTGTAACACGGTGTCGCCAGGACTGGCACGCCTTGTTCCGCATCATCCGTGATGTGCCTCTGACGGCCAACTTCGAGCGTCCTGCCGACAAGGTCTTGGAAGGCCTCGAGGAGCCCGTGGTGCCCGTGGCGCCCAAGGCTGAGCCCACCGCGAACAGCGCCACGGGCGAGGCCGTGGAGGGCGTGGAGGCTGTGGAGGGTGTGGCCGTGGAGGGTGTGGACGTCATGGGAAGCACCGATGGCGATGGTGGCGATGGTGGCGATGGCGATGCCACGGAGGGAGATGGAGATGATCTGTTTGATCCAGAGAGTCCTGAGGGACCTGGGGACTTCGAACCGCAGAGTGAGATGGCCCACTACCAACTTCTGCAGCATGTGGATTCTCCAGAACATGAAGACCCTGATGAGGCCCACTCCCCAGTATCCCCAGTGAAATGATTCCCACAGGTCTTGATGGAAAAAAAGGGTGCAAATGAGGAATAGATATGAATAGATGGAATAGGAATAGAACATGAAGAGTCGCAGAGTATGATTGCAGATGCCAAGCATCCTGTATAGATGCTGAAGGATCTTTCCCTGCATAGTTTTTGGATGTTTTTGGGGGCAGCCACTCACGTTGCTCGGCATGACAAGCCCATTTAGCGCCAGGGCTTCAGGCGCTTGAGAGCAGGAGAACTTGTGGAAGTTCTGGAGTGGCCTGCGAATCACATGGAGTTCCGCACTCGGTAGATGTTTGAACTATATGTAGTTCATCGATTATTTGGTCTTCTTGAAGTTCAGTGTGAGTATATGTGATTTTTTGATATTTTTGGCTGTACGCTGTCACGCTGTTTGAAGTACCCTCTGGTAATTTAACATGGCTATTGAAAATGGCCATTTATAGTTTCGTGAATTTTCCCATTAATAGCATGGTGGATCTTTCCATCGTTTTTTGGGACTGTTTACCAGAGGGTAGAAGCATTCCTTGGTGTGGTTGATCCTGAGGTCTGGCTTAACCCGAATGAAAGTCGTAGCCCTCACAGACAAAGCCAGTGGATGGATCACTCAAACCAATGCCGATGGAGTGCATTTCGCAGAGCCGCACGAACGCTGAAAAAAGATGGATGCGATCCAGCCTAGGATTACCCTCTGGTTATGTCAACAGTTTGCTATTGAAAATGGCCCATAGAAATAGTGGATTTAGCCATTGAAAATGGTGGATCTTTCCATAGTTTTTTGTATGTTTACCAGAGGGTAACTGCTAGAGCTGGCTGATTGAAAGGAAAGATCATAGAAGTCATGGAAGATGTTACTAATGTTAGTAAAGCAATAGTAAACCATCCCCACATTTTACCATACATGGGTGGCATAGACCATGGTTTACTGTTGTTTAACTAACATTAGTGAGATGCCTCTGCATCACCAAAAATTGCCCTGGAGATGCTATAGCCGCAACATGGTTGCGCGCGCAGCATGTGCTCAAGAAACTCTCGGAATTAGAGCAGCGGAGGGGCCGTTGAACTGCTTATTTCTCTCCTCGAACCTCCTAACAGCCAGAAACTCACGGTTTCATGGTTGTTTCTCCAAAGAAACCAGAAAAACGCTTAAAACAACTCAGGTTTTCTGAACATTTGCACTGAACATCGGCACTTCCAGATATGTCCAGAAAGTAAGAGCCATGGCACTTTCAGGTTGTTTCAGGGCAAAAACACCGCAGCGATGGCGCCCGAGTCGCTGCACCTTGTCTGAAACGGTGAGATGGCGCCATTGTTCAACAATTGGTAATGTCAACCCTGGATTAATAAACCCCAAACGGCTATTTAATTGGGAAGGTACCATTTAAGTATCAAATAATGACTATTGGGGGAATACCCCCCCAATTAACAAACCATGGTTTATTAATCCGGGGTTGACATTACCATGGTTGTTGTGATCTAGCTGTTACCCTCTGGTAATTTAACAAAAAACTATGGAAAGAACATCACCATGCTATTCATGGGAAAAACCACTATATTTCTATGGTGGATCTTTCCATAGTTATGTAACAAATTACCAAGAAGGTACATTTAGTAATGACATGTAATAGCAATAGCTATTTCTATCTACTGTATTTCTTTTTTTATTGATAGCTTTTTTTAAAACATAATGCCCGCTTGTGCAATGAAGACTGCTAGAGCTTGGAAGAAAAAATGCTATTTACGTGGGATCTCCTCTTGTTTTAAAAAGGGTTGGGCCTATACCACAACGTCCAACCCGGTAAGGTTCCAATATGTTTTAATATGAAGAATCTTTGAGTAGCCTATTCCGTTTATTCCCGAAAAAAAGCCAGTCGGGTGTGAAAAAAATAGCAGTTCCACATTTATGGTCCAAGTGGTTTTGAGGTCTTCGAGTTGAAATGACAAAAGTGACAAAAGCATGGAATTTGCTGCAAAAGCATTGGGACATACACAACTGTTCAGTCTGCAGAATGATAGCAGCCTGCTCAACTGCTCTATAACTCTACGTATAATTTGCACTTTCCGCACTTATAACGATAGTGCTTGCTGCCTGAGGCTGTCTCACTCCGACAGCCCATGAATTATATCATGAATTGAGTTCACACAGCTTCCGCAGCCAGGGTTTCAATCGGAAAGCATCATGAGGCAAATCAGGCCACACTACCTCTGTAGCAGATAAATCAAGCTATCCTCAACCCAATGCTTGCAACAATGGCGACCTTAACAGCCTTAACCCCAAAACTTCCCCAGAATAGTGATGAATCTTGCTGTTTAATGGCACCGAAAAAAGAGTTTCTCTTGAAGCTTCACATTTTTTCCATAGGGATCAATCCCTTTCCTGAAGGGACGGCCATGGCTGGAGTGCTGGCATTGCTCCTGACACATCTGTGGCCGTTGGGCGCGTCGAGTTGGCATAAACCCTGGGCCACTCATGCGGCATGCGCTGAAATGGTGCGCCGCTTTGATTGGACTTACAATACCTCTGAAATTTTGTACCGCAGATTCCACGCCTGCCTGGCACGTCGGAAAGATCTTCCAGATTGGACTGGAAACAATCGACCTCCTTTGATCTCGGGTGAACATTATCCAGTTTCGGTGGTTCCATCAGTGCAGGCGCCACCTTTATATTGGATCACCCCGGTCTATGACTATGTCGTTTCCAATCACATCCGCAAAGCAGGGACCTATGAACCTGTAGAGCTGGAGGTCTTCCGAAATTTAGTGCGTGAAGGTGAGGTGGTCTGTGATTTAGGTTCTCATGTGGGCAGTTACTCCATCCCCTTAGCCTTCCATGTGGGTCCCGCGGGGCGAGTGTATGCCTTCGAGCCCTTCCGGGTGGTTTTCCAATTACTCACCGGCAACGCTGCGATCAATGGCCTGGAGAATTTCTATTCCTTCAACGTGGCGCTGGGCGAAAGATCGGAGGTGTTGAGAGCCAAGAGTCCAGCGTTAAAGAGGTCCAGCAATATCGGTGCCACGGCCGTGTTTCTTCAAGCCAAAGAAGTTTATGGAGAAAATCATGTCCTGCAATATGAGGGAGAGGAAAATGTGAAGGTTGAAACCTTCGATTCCTTTCATCTAGAGGAAGTTCATTTTATGAAGATTGATGTGGAAGGTGCTTTGGAGAAAGTTTTGCGTGGTGGCCAAGAGACCATTCAGCGTTGCCGGCCCATCATCGCTTGTGAGCATGGTGAGGAACAGGCACCCGAATTGTTGTTATTGTGGGGCTACCGCTGTTTGTTGGTCCTTCCCCCGCATGACTTGTGGGTCTGCGTGCCAGAGGAGAACTGGTGGCGTCATCGATGGTTGGAGGTCACCGATTTCGGCTTCGGCCCTGGAGGTACCCAGCTGCCACGCTCGGTGCAGTTGGCGCAAGAGATGAAGGCGGAAGCTGAGGCCAGGAGGGGAACTGAGGCACCCAAATTGGTTCAAGACGGCCAAGACATTTGAGAAAAAAGGATGAAAAAAGGCTGAAAAAAGGCAGCTAAAGACAAGAACTTCAGCTCCCATTTTGTTGGACAACCTGACAGTTTTCAGCGTTGAGAGTTTAACAGTTGGCTGGATGATTTCAAATTCCCAGCAGCTAAGTTGACATCCGAAGATCGTGTTAGAAATATAAGTTTATTTGGTCCTGTGGATGGCTCGCCGCGTTGGACAAAAAAGTGAGAACGGCCACCTGCTGCCAGAGCCTTGATAGTGATGATATGAGAGCACGTGTCAAAATTTTCGATTTTTTTCTCCGCGTTCACACTAATGTAATTAATGTAATGTAATGTAATGTAATGTAATGTAATGTAATGTAATGTAATGTAATGTAATGTAATGTATGTACACACACATACATACATACATACATACATACATACATACATACATACATACATACATACATACATACATACATACATACATACACACATACACACATACATACATACATACATACATCCATCCATACATACACACATACATCCATCCATCCATCCATCCATCCATACATACATACATCCATCCGTCCGTCCGTCCATACATACATACATCCATCCATCCATACATACATCCATCCATCCATACATACATCCATCCATCCATACATACATCCATCCATACATACATCCATCCATACATACATCCATCCATACATACATCCATCCATCCATACATACATCCATCCATCCATACATACATCCATACATACATACATCCATCCATCCATACATACATCCATCCATCCCTCCATCCATCCATCCATACATACATACATCCATCCATACATACATACATCCATCCATCCATCCATACATACATACATCCATCCATCCATACATACATACATCCATCCATCCATCCATACATGTAAATGTAAATGTAAATGTAAATGTAAATGTAAATGTAAATGTAATGTAATGTATGCACACATGCATACATACATACATACTCTTCTTTTTTGTTTGACATTGATTAAGTTTGATTTGCTTACTTTGAAGAACTTTTTTTATGGCCAAAACTGTGAACATGACAGTCGACATGCGTCCATTACGAGTCAAGACCTGGAATTTTGGGCGGATTGAAGTTGGCTGAGGTTGATATGGCACGAAGTAGGCCAGTCGTATGCGGAATTTCAAGTGACTTTGGGCTGAAACTGCCTGATTTCTGGTAGTTTCGGTGTGTGCAGACGCATGTGGGTTTGTTTGAAATCTAGATTCCAAGACAAATTTGATGGCTTATCATTATTTATCTACTTTTAACTTGACATAATTATCCGGTCAATCTCCAATTTCCAGACGCATCTGTGCGGTGAAAGATGATGAAGTCCTAGCTTTGGCATTTGTCAGTGGATGGAATCAATTCGGAGGCGTGTCAAGCATGGCGTGAGAGGGATCAGACTTGCAACAGCTGCATCTCAAGGAGTGAACCTATCTTTATAGCAAGTGGGGAGTAGGGAGGTTAGTCATGCTCTGACTGATACTTAACAGCGTGATAATGATCATCAAGCAGCTGGTTTCTGTGAAATCGAGCATGTGTAAAGACACATATACACATAGACAGATAGACAGACAGAAAGACAAACAGGCAGATAGACAGACAGACAGACAGACAGATATTACTTTTTTGGGTTTCTTCAGTGATTCTACGTGTGGCAAGTTTGGCCACTCTTTGAACACGTGTTTCAGGAGTGGATTTTCACCTTCCCCGTCCAGCCCTCAAGCTGTTTCAAATTCGTGTCCGTAAGTTATTTGTGCCATGCTTCATTTTTTGCAAGGTGATGATTCAAACCACTTTACACAACAAACGTGGGTCCTTTGGTTCACGACAAGGACAGGCTTGGGCTCACCGGAAGCACTTGGGATTGGAAGTGCCATTCGCAACGACATGGGTTTAAGTGTTTGCCAGAGATACACACGTAGACACAATCCAAAGAGGCGAACGTCAACTGCGAGCAAATGTTAAGATGGATTTACTTCAACAGTGATTCATTTTACTGTATGTTTTGTTTGGAATCGTTGACATTCTTGGATTTACAGTCAGTTGTTAAGAAGCAAGTATCAGGCTACTGCTCGTCGCCCGCCGTCTGATTCAAGAGTCTCACAACAGAGTCGGGGAAACGGGAAAGCAAGTTTTTCAGACACCATTTCCGAAATGCGCGACACGAACATGCGGCTTGGTTGCACTGCGACATATTTTCCGGGGTAAAAAATCGGTGCATTTTAACCGATGGCAGATGAATAGCTAAGCCCACAGCGGGCCACTAGTGGCACGCTTGGCTCGACCTGGCTGAGAATGAATAGGAAGAGTGGTGAGAATAGAGTGGAATCAAGGACAATAGAGAGGCCAAGTTCCCTCAGGTGTCCTATTCTAGATATGTTCTCTCGCTACGATTTTCATGTGCGGAGCCAGAGATACAAGTGTGTATGTATAAACTTGATTTCATACACACACACACATTTTCCAAACAGTCTTATTTATCCAGATGAGATATATACTTTTGCATTTCATTTCTAAAATGCATCTATCTATATATTTTCACAGGTATTTCCATTTCCACATGCACACACATTTGCATACACGTCTACTGTTTTGTGGTGGCATGTTTACAGTCTTACATTACATCGGCATGCCTAAGATCATAGGTGATTGCTCCGTGTTTGAAGCCTTCAGAAGGGAACATGTGCAGGAATTCCCTATATTTGATGGTTAAACATTAAAACCATGGGTTTCCTTTTAGATTTTCCCAAAAAAGCCCTGTGGCTTTCCGGGGGTTTGGGCCCGTTCACTGAGGCAGTCTGGAATGTACTCCGCTTATCCCAGCATGGACTGGTGGAAGGAGAAGTGGGACGCGCTTCCGCTCGAGACGAAATCGGCTTCGCCGGTGCCCGAAATCAAGGCGAAGCTGAGATTTTCGTGGTGTCTCCTGGGTGGAAATCCACTGATTTACTGCTGAAAACCAGGTTTTTTTCGGGAGAAACCGCGACAAGTTCCCCAAAATTCCGACCAGTTCTAGGAAAAAAGTGTTCTTATCATGGTTTTAATTGTTTTAATCATCAACCATCCCCAATTTGGCCATAAAGCCATCCACCATTGATGGTGGAGTCATGGCAGGTCACTGGTGCATCGAGCCCTTGGTCCGTGCCAGTGCCAGGGCCCATGTTCAGTCCTCGTGAAGGCAGTTTTACCATCGAAGACGTCTGGGAGTCCCATTCGCATCACTCGCATCATTCGCATCATTCGCATCACTCCCATTTTTCGCACACCTCG